ACCCTGAAGTTCCATTCTAAATATTGGTGAAAGAATTTTTGAAATCGGATGAGTAGTTTCGGAGATTCCTGCTGCAAACAAACTTACATACATTACCTCTTTATAATATTAGTATAGATCAAATGGTGAGGTAATGAGTAAGAAATTTGGCATGGTAGCTTGTGTGTAAAGGACATTGATGCTGTTAAATGTCAAGGAAGTGGGGAGATATAGAGCGGGGTTATGTATTATCTCTTCAGAGGGATTGGACTTTAAGATTTTCTTATCAGTATTTACAATTTTTATTTTTATAAAACTTATAAAATGGTAAAATGCTTAATTTTGAGGATACAGATAAAAAGTTTTTTATAATCAAATGTCATAACAGCTGGGAAAGTTATACAATTCTCTGCTGGATTTTTTAATAGTGTAAACTTCATATAATTACAAATTAACATAATCTGTAAACTATATAATTTTATTTATATATATTTAAAATGTACACACAAATTACACTTCTATGCATTTGTAGCTAGAACTATTTTAAGATGACCAAGGCAAAACTTTTCTCACTTTTTTCTAGCCATTTATAGATGAGTACAAACGTTTTCAGCCTTCTTAATAGGTTTTCTTCAGGTACACTGTGGTCTGTTAGAGCATCAGTTGGTAGAAATTTAAACAGTGTCAATGTTTTACACTGTTTAAATTTCTACCAACCGATGCTCTAACAGACCACAGTGTACCTGAAGAAGGCCAAAAACATTCATACTCATCTATAAACAGCTAGAAACAAGTGAGAAAGGTTTTGCCTTGGTCAACACACAAATTAACATTGCATAATAAAATATTCTTCATTGACAAATACAAGAATTGAAAAGTTAACAACTTATTGTTTATAGCAGTAGTGTTTGTTATAATAATTTTAAAATGTAACAAATATAACCTGTATTTTCATGAAAATCTGGCAGTAAATATTTGGCTATTAGTAACTTAATGAATCAGACTTTTGTATATGTAACAAAAATGTATATTTAGCCTTTTAAACAAATTTTTGAATTCTTTTAATTTATATATTACAAAATCATAAAATAGCCGATTTTTATGAACTTGTATATTTCATTTATGCAAACATACATTTTTTTTGCTTTGTCAAATTATGAATAATATACATATACACCATGTTGCATAAATTTTTAGTCATTTAATGATTCTTTCAACATCTCAATACAGAGTAAATTCATTACATTTGATTTTTGCTGATTTATCAATAATAATTACAACTTAAAAATACAATTGTCGTATAAAATTCTCCTAGTTTCAAGTCCTAAAAACTTCTAAACTTATTATCTGATTTTGACAATACTTCACTGCTATATTCTTCAAGTCAATACTTTTCTTACGTGTACACAGATGACAGCATTGGCCTGTTGTTTTAACAAAGAATGTAAAAATGGCATAATGCAGAAAAAGCAAAATGTGTGATGTATGAAAAATTAGAAAGTGTGTTGCCTGAGGGAGTAATTTTCCAACAGAATGGACTCCATTGATCTCACCATTTGATTGGACATTTAATGACAATTGATGTGGTAGTCCCACAGAGTAAAGAAATATATACATCCAGAATGGTAGCTGGCATTAGTATTATGAAGCTGACTTGGAACAGGAAGTGATGCCATATTTTAGGGCAGAAGCGAAAGTTCTGTACTTTTTGTCCCACTTTTCACCAGTAAGTGTATAATATATTTTTTTAAATTACTATATATGTATGATACCCAATACTCTGAGAATACCCAATACCATGTTCTGAGATTTTTTTACATTATTTTAAATTATTCATTGTAGATTTTCTTCTGAGCTGATATTAAAAAGAAAATGGATTGTTACAAAAAGAACTAAATGGCAACAAACCCAGTAGTCTGTTCTTTGTTTGGTTCATTTTAGCAGTGATTGCTATTATTTATCATCAACTGCACACAAGATCCTAAGAAAGAATGCAGTTCCCCAATATTTGAATTTCCTGATCATCTGAAAAAGGTAATGTTTCTGTAAAAATATTGACACAAGTTAAAGTTTAAAAAGATATTAAAGCATTAACTGTAATGTTACAAAGTAAAAGATATAGATTATAAATGATATATCTTTGTCTATTGAATGTTAGAAAAATGAAAGCAGATGGGTTCTTATAAGAAATAGGCTTAATGACAATGAACAAAATATTTGTGACATTGTTATAGAAGCATCAAGCTGTCTTCAAATGCTGCCATTGATGCTACAAATTCAGGTTAGTCTAATAATCAGTCTAAGTAACTTCTATTCTCTAAACTGATTACTCATTTATCATACTTTATTTTTTTATCAGCATATTAGTGGACCACACTTATGCTATAATTGAATCTCCAAGAAAAATAAAAAAATAATTGCTTCAACAAGTGGAAAGAAATATGGCACTTCAGAAAAAATTAAAAACATTACAACAATGCAAGAGGCAAAAAAAAACAAACAGTAAAATAGAAACCCTGAAGGAAGCCATACAAGATGAATTGTTGCAAGCATTTTTAATTTTTAATTACTTTTTTATTGACTTTAATTTTACAACAAAACAAAAAGAAACAAAGAAAAATAATTACATCATTGAGGCAGGACTGGAGTTGCTGGAGGAATGTTCAGATTCCTCCAGCAACCCCACTTATGGCACTCCAATTAATGCAGGCTGTCCAACATTGGTTGTTTTTCCTAATTAAAAACAGTGCAGGCACCCCATGGATCCTATGGTTACTTTTTCCAACTTTCCTATCTCACTTCATTTTCCCTCTTCCCTTTCACTTCTCCATTCTTTACACCTTTCAATTTCTCCTAAGACAAGGAGATAAGGCTGTACTTGTAGGTGTAGCCTTCTACACCTACAAGTACAGCCTTATCTTCTTTCAGTACCTGTCCAACATAGGCTTAACAAAAAATCAGTAGGAGCATATTCAGCAGCCTTATGTAAGTTTGCACTTACATTTAACTATTTATCACCCAGTGGCTATGACTATGTTAGAAGCAGCTTGGGCTTTGCTCTGCTTTATCCTCGTACAATTTGTTCATGGTATTCAGGCATTTCTGCTTCACCTAGATTTACTGAGGAAACTTTCTTTGCTCTATACACTGTGTCTGCAGATAAATTCAACTTTATGCTGTTTAATGATGGATGAAATGGCTATTAGACAGTATGAATATTTTGATGGTCATCATTATCATGGTTATGTAGATATTTATTAGGATTTTTTTTCTTACTAGTACATCAAAGAAAAAATTTAATATACATGTAATGTACATAGAGGATTTGATCCCGGGATCTCGAAAATCGGGATTCCGACTACTTTTCAGTCCCAAAATTTTCGGGATTAAGTTTTCCTACTCCCGAGATTTTCGGGATTGACATCATTTTAAAAAAGTTGCAAAATAGACTGCATGAAGCGAAATGTTCAGTGCCAGTGCTTTTACAGAATTGCTTGCCTATCATTCTCATATAAAATATGAGAAATTTTATTCCAAGCAAGCAGCAGAAATTAACCTAGC